TGTTTACTAAATAAAATTTTGAATTATGTTGAATCGAGAAATATGAAATTATTAGCATTAACCCCTTATTATGTTCACACAATCAGATAAGTGGAAAGGATTAACAAAGTTTTAATAAATTTAATTAAAAAGCTTATTGAGGATAAACCTAAAAATTGGAATGAAACATTACTCTAAGTATTATGGGCTTATAGAAATTCTTCAAAAGATTCTATGAAAACAACTCCAAGTTGTCATGAAATAATACTTATATTATTGTTAATTGTTATAATAGGCAATCACATTTATCTATTAATGACAAATATTTTAAGACATTGAAATTATATCATATATAATTGCAAACAAATAAAAGGAAACAAATTGAATGAGAGTGAAAAAAAATAATATTAATATTTAAAAGAATATAAAAAGTTGTACACATTTGACACAGAAGCTTGTTATTATTCTTTATCAGCAAGTGTGACCAAATTTTCGTTAAAGGATAAAGTAACTAATGAACAAATTTTATCAATAATTTTATTAATATATTTTATATATATTTAATGTATTTTTTAATTAATTATTAGTAGTTAATATAGTTTTTGTAAAAAGAAAATAAATATCTCTGAATCTAATTTATTACTTAAATCATATATTTTAGCTAATTATTTATTTTCTTTTGCAAGGATGATAAATTAAATAAATTATAAAAGCAAAATCGAAGGAATCAGTTTAGCGTTTTGGAATCAGCTTAACGTTTTGGAATCCGCTTAACGAAATCAGATCAGGAAAGCTTCCTTTTAGGATCGAACCATTTGTTGAGCGAACACATATTCGCTAAGTGAAATGTATCGAATCTCATGTAACTAGCTTAATTGTAAATCCGCTTCAACGCATAAAAAAATTGTTGAGCGAATTTTTCACAGAGCCTCATTTTTACTGAATGATGTTTAAGTTCTATTATGTAATTTTAAGTCTTGAATGAACCTTATTTGATTCGTATAACTTCGTTGTTGTATAAATAGGCCTTTGAAGGCTACAAAATATAAGTTAAGTTGAAAGTTAAGTCACAAGTTAAGCTTTTGAAGTTAAGAATTTCTAGTTTTAGATTCAAGTTTTGTCTAGATTTTCTCTCTTTTGTGATGCTTAACTTCCAAGTCTGTTTATAGAGCTTCTTGTATGAATAATGCCGTAAAGATTATTAATTCAAGTTTCTTTTGATCAAATTTATTTCGTTTTCTCTTTACTTTTTTGTTTTCATCTTCTTCTTCTTTCACTTTATTTCGTCACTGCTCCAATGTTTTTTCTGGTTTTTCACCTTAATCATGTTCTAATTCGCTTTTGTTGTTGATTCACAGATTAAAATTTGTTTTCTATAGTTTAGATTTGATTCTTAACTATTCTAATATATTATAATCTATTACAATAGATGTAATTGAGGTTATTTGATTGAATATCTAATTTATAACATAATTCAATTTTCTAGTTTTAAGTTTTAAGTTATTACTTCATTTAGAAATTGAATTATGTTTGCAAATTTCAATTGGATTGTAATTGTTTGGAAATGTTGTGGAAATTTATTTTTATGATTGCAATACAAATCACATAAATCAATGATAATCATAAAAACAAGTTTATGATTGGAGAATCAATAATAAATTCTTGTTGCCTTGAAAGACTCCACAAGAGTCATCATTAAATTCAAAATATGCTTCATTGGGAGAATTGATGGATGCTACAACTAGTTCATGTGGAGTAGCCTCTAATAGTATAGTAATAATTGTTTTGTTGGTTAAGTGATTATGTAAATGTCCAAGGCAAAATGATACTTTGACAACTCAAATCCATACACCTTCAGTGAACAACTCTCTTTTAATAATATAATAATAGTTTTAATTTATTTTTATTTTTATTAAATCATTCTATATATTATTATATTAATAAAAATGAGTTGTTTGAAGGGTTACATGGTTTCTGGTTGTCAAAATATCACCACTCATGTCCAAGAGAGGTTTCATGTTAGAAGTAATGAAATGTAAGGGACAAGGAAAATAATGATAAACATAATATAAGATAAAAAACAATGAGTAATAAACACAAGTACTTTTATGGGAAACGAGGTAGGAGGATTCAACGCACAAGACTCCTCGAATAGTGAATCAACTTACTCAAATATTGTAGATGTGACAATTTATGATAAAATATGTTTATTAGCACAAATATAACATAAGATAAATTTTTGAGCAAAAAAAGAGGAAAATACTTGACTTGATTTTTATTTGCGTCAAGATGTGGAGAATGACGTCTCATCACTCATAGAATTAGAATTGACAATAATTGTGGGTTGATGGAGACATCCACAAGTAAAGGTGTCCATTCCTACAAATGTAAAATTAAAAGTCAATTCATCAAGCGAATATTTATTAGTTAAATTCAAATAATTCACAATAAGTTAATACCGTAGGGATTGTAACGGAAGATGGTGATGGAGAAGGTGTTGTCTTTGATTTGGATTTCTTCTTAACAAAAGAAAAAATACATTATAACCGAGAAATTGATATCAAATGAAACAAGGGTGTTAAAAATTCAACCATACCAAACGAGGAAGATAATCATAAATTTTCTTTTCTTTTGGGAGAAGCTGGGATAACACCATATATGCTAATGAAACTATTCAAAAAAAAAGGAAATGATTAATAGAGAAATAAATTGTTTTTATTATTTTTACTTTTTACTTTTAATGGTTGTGAAAAAAATATAAATATAAATAAGATCAAATAAATGGAAAAAAAGTGACAAACTATATTAAAAAACTTACATTATAAAAAAAAGGCTAAGAATAAGAGAAAAAGCTATTTAATAGAGTTACTAGTAATTTAGGTTACCATTTTATGGTTTTTTTATACTAGTTTCTTTTTTATCATTTATAATTTATATTTCTTGCAATTTACATTTTTAACAATTTATTTTTCCCAGTAATTTATATTTCTATAATTTAAAAATTTCTACCTTTAATTGCTGTCCTTTGTTTTTAATTATTTTAATAAATTTTTAGATTAAGTCATGTATGAATTAATAGTTAAAATCTAAGTTTATAATCAAAATAATTCCATAAATATCTTTATTAAATTAATATGAAAACATCCTTTATAAAAATTGTTGATGGTTGAGTCTGTGATACTATACCTGGTTTTCTTGTTTGCATTCGAAGTAATTTAACAAAAAACATGGTTCTGCCAAAAAAACAAGAAACAAAAACATGGGCATTTTTGTTTTTGTCACTATTATATTGATGATGATGTTACCAGCCGACAACTGGGTTTTGGATACTGAATATAATTGTGTGCTTAATGTGTAAGGTTAGTAGGTTACCATATTTTGGAAGCGAGCAGGAAATCGAACCTATGAGACCTCAATGCTGGCGTTTGATTAATTTGCAATGGATTAATAAAAATTAAGTTTGAATAATTAAATATTTTTCTTAATCGTTTGATTCGTTACATCGGGTTAATATAAATTAATTTTAAATAATTAAATTTTTTATTTTCTATAACTTTTTTAATATAAAGAGTAAATATTTAAATTTCACTTAAATGGATCACTTTCCTTCTTAAACTTTTACTCTTAGACTTACATTCTTAAACCAGAATTTTTTTTATATTACAGTATTTATATTTTTTTATTTTTCTACATATTATAACTTTATGTAAATGTTATTTTTTATTTTATTACTTTTATTTACTCATTATAATATTAATTTTGTTTATTTTATATTGTTTAAATTTTATATTACATCATTAATATTATATAAACATAATAAAAAGTTACATGAAAGAGTTGAATTGTATTTTAAAATGTTTTTATATGTCAAATACTATCTTGTTTATTTGTCTATATTTCAAATGCTTTTTTTTTTTTAAGTTGAAAGCAGAAAAAAAAAATCAACATAAGGTATTTTTGTTAATTTGTCAGCACCATTCATAAATTCACCAAAATGAGATTTATTTTTAAAATTAAAGTGTTGTTTATCTCTCTCTATAAATAATTCTAAGTAATTTTATTTAAAAATAAGTATATTTTATATTTTGTATTGTCTATTTTTTTTTCTCATATTTTCAAACAAATAAGTATTTTTTTTTCTTTTTCTTTTCAAATAAACAAGTAGTGGAAACTCGCGATGGTGGCAGCTGCTTGGTGGTTTTTTTGTTCATCTGGTTGGGTTGTCTTCAACTGAATTTGCGACGGAACAGAACAGAAGACCCTCACCTCACTTCTCTTTGACCATTAAACCTTCGCCATTGCTTCGATTTCGTAAGTCCACTCTTCCATTCTCCGCATCGATTATTCCACACTCATCTTCCATCCTAGGTTTCTTTTTTCCATTTCCGTTTATTCCCTCGCAATTGCGTTTTATCTTCTAGGCTTTGCCGTTTTGTAACCATCCATCACGTCCCCTATTCCTCAGCGTTTTAGGAACTTTTTTAGTTTTTAGTATTAATTATTGATTATTGTTTGTGAATATGTAAGATGTACATAGTTTTGTGTTATTATGAAATACGATTTAGAGCACATGATAATTTTTCATTTTGGTAGGTATTAGCCAGAGTTATGTCACCGAGTAATGGATTATTTTCTATGCTTTTACTCTGGTGTGTAGTTGATGTGCTTGTGGAGCTACATGATTCTTCATTGTGTTGAGTGATGGATATTGTTGTTGTTATTGTTATGCTGATACGTGATTAGATTTGGATCTATGATTTCTTAATTAGTGATTAAGAAGGTATTGTTAAATATATATCAGACAGTCTTTGGGTTCTAGTTTGGTTCTTATACCATTAGTAATAAGTGAAATTACGTAGCACAGGAAGATCCGTTGCTAAAGTTATTCTTAAGATGTTCCAACCAAAGCTTTTAGTTTTGAAGAGATAAATTTTGGGTTTGAAATTGTCATACTGATAGTAATTTGTTTTGGGTGTTGACAGTGAGAAAAGAGGTAACTGTGAATTTGAATCCAAAGCTGAATGGGTTATCTTCAATTTGGCAGACATGGTGTTAGACAGATCATTAGATTTAGAGATACCAGTTATGATAATGTTGTGGTGAACCCCCTCCTGTATGCTTCCCAAGGGCTTCGTTACAAGAGGAAGCTCCAAGTCATCCTTACAACTGTAAATATTAATCTTCAGTTGTGAGGCTTGTTTTCTGCGTTGCTTTTTATTCAATTTTTCTGAATGCTTAAGTTTCCAATTTACAGGACATAGACAAGCTGGGAAAGGCAGGTGATACTGTCAAAGTTGCCCCAGGATATTTTCGCAACCACCTAATGCCCAAGCTCCTTGCTTTCCCTAACATTGATAAGTTTGCATATCTCCTCAACGAGCAGCGCAAGGTTTGTTTTATGCATTAATCTCTGTTTTACTTATTTGTATATGCTGCTTCCTGGTCATTTCCATTTATCATTTGATAAATTGATTTCCACTTGCATTTTATGTATTTTACTATGTTCTGGAATAAATTTTTAAATTCATGATATGATAAAGCTGGTAAGCTATCTGATCGTTACGACAACTGTGTCCTTTACATTTCTTTCTGTGATTATGTGAATGTGTGTGGTTCATGTTGTTAATATTCTAAGCTTGTCGTGGTGCATAGGCAGTTTCCATAACTTTCTTCTATGTATTCACCATTTGCCAGTGTTATGTTTTAAATGCTTCAGCTCTATCAACCAACTGAAGAAGAAAAACAAGAAGATGTCACTCTAGTTAAAGAGTCAAAGGAAGACACCATAAAAGAGTATGAAAAGGCTGCAGTACGTCTTGATAAAGCTAAGCTGGTTTGTAGTTCACTCTTCAAAGCTTTTCACTCCTGTTGTAGACTGTTTCTGCAATCCTTTCTGGGGAAATGATCTTGATTTTCTAGTAAATTGTTGCTGAGAATACAGATGACCTGCTCTAAGAATTTTTCATATCACTGATTAAAGCTTCACTTTAGACCATGTTTTGTGATGATACTCCCATATATTGTAGTTGTTAAAGTTCTAAAATAGAAGCTTGTAGTTGATAATTTGATAGTAATTCATGTTAAAACTAACAAGTTAATGTACATTATTTTAATATGGGCCTGGATGTGATGATCTAATAGGTCTTGCGGAGGTTAATTGATGTTCAAAAAGCCAAGTCACGTGAATCAAAAGATGATACCTTGGAGTTACGTTTTCCTGTGACAAAAGACAATCTTGTGGCTGAGGTAATATTTGTTATTTTCTTGGTAGTTGAAATGTTTTGTTGATATTTGCTAAATAAAAAAATTAAGAATGAAAAATATAATCTGTTATATAATGTGTATTCTTGTCATTATTCAGAGCAAGTAATAGAGAATAACTGTGTTAGATATCTGGATAATTTTTATTATATTATTATTGTTACTTAATATTTTAACCTCTTACGGATGGTTTTCATATTTCATGATGTGTTTCCTTAATCATAATTTGAAGTCCACTATTAGTATAAACAGGGATTAATACTGTCTTTTATTTCATCAAATCAATAGTCTTCTATTTTCCTTCACTTAATTTCGACAATTAACTTTTTTATATATTTACATCTTGCATTGGATCAATTACAATTTTTGGATATTACTGTTTACCCTACTAGTTATCTTGACATGTTAGTAAAACTAGGGAGAGATCTACTTGTTCTTTTATCAATGGAAAGATGGTTTGGATTATGTATATAGGAAAGGGTAGTGTTAAAGAGACAAGAGATAGAAGATCTCCTTGGCTCCTCGTAATATGACAGTGTTAGAAATGAAGAATTTCTATGAAATAATCCTTATTTGCCAACCAAAATGTCAACGTGCTGTGCACAGATGATTTGTTCTTGCTGGTGCGTTGACTCTAACATCCTTCCTTGTTCCCATTCCCAAACTGAAAGAATCTAAGTTTGACTGAGGTGTTAGTATTTCTTTTACAAATCATATCTAAGCTTCTTTCTTCTTTTTTTCTTCATTCTTTCTCTGCTACTGACTCTTATGTGTTGTTCTAAGGTGGCAAGACAACTCTTTGTGAACATTGCACCCGATAATCTGCACCTTCCATCACCTTTATCAACGGTGGGCGAATACGAGGTGCCACTGCGTTTACCAAGGTCCATCCCCTTGCCAGAGGGCAAGGTTAACTGGAGTTTGAAAGTTAAAATCAGGAGTAAATAAATCATTGTCTTGTTGAATTCAAGTTCACAAGGGATGAAATTACTGCTTTTTGCTGATAATCATCAAATTGAACCCGAGGATTAGAAGATTTTGACATTTTTTGTTTTTGTAGAAACAGAAACGGGACCCATTTAACAATGTCTTTTCAATATTCTCTGTTATCTTATCACTGAGTGAAATTTTATGTTCTTTGACATGCCTTTATACAAAGTTGTCTCGGTGTCATATCTTTTATCTGAATTGCAATTGATTTTTTGTTTATCTATCAGTTCAAGTCTTGAACAGATCATTCACCTTTAAATTATAATCCATACGGGTTGGACTGGTTGGGCAGAGATAATCTAGTGTCTTGGCGAAGTTGTGGAATATAATTCCTTTGGCCCAGACGAATACCCTTGGAAGACTAGGCTATTTCAACCCTAAAAAGTACATAAAATCACTAAGTACTTTTATGTTAAACCATTTTCGTAATAAAGACTGCAGTTTGTGTATCTGTCTCTTTCTAGGACCAGCAAGGATATTGTCATCGACATGCACAATGTTGATAACCAATGAATCACCCAAACCCATTGAGAACAAAGAACGATCAGTGGAAGGCTTGGGAAAACGATGTTGTGTGATAAGTGGAATTAATTTTATTGAACCATTGCCAAGATGTCTGCCTTAAGTCGTATGGAGAATTATTAAATTTGAATACTAGACTTCCCCTGGTGGGATAACCCTTTAGTTAACACCATATAGACTTTCTCAAGAAGTTATCATTTATGAAAGCGTTGATGTATAGTTGAACAAAGTGCCAAATTTTGAACAACTATGTTGACAAAATTCAAAATCGTGGTGAGTTTTGCTACAGGTGAGAAAAGTTTGAACAACCCACGTGTTATAGCCTCTTTCTATTCAAGATGTGATACAACTTGACGATAGAAGGAAGGTTAAAAAATTGTTGAGACTTATAAGCCAGTGCTTGTAGATTTTGTTTAAGAAGAGGATCTTTGTGTTCTAGTTGTTCTCCTCAAAGGAAACGAATAAAGGTGGTGGGCCTTTAGGTGTAGGGACAGAATCAGGTTGAGCAAGAGCTAAGGAAGTTTGGGAAATTGGTTTTGGTGTAAAAAAGTGTTTGAGAAGAGTTTGGGGTAAAGTTATTATGATCAAGCATGGTGTGAAAAGGGAAAACATGTTCATGGAAAAAGACATCCCTTTAAGTAAAATTTTTATTTGATTGGATGTGAGAGTCTGTATCCTTTACATCCAAAAGGATAAGGCAGAAAATGCATGGAATAGCTCGAAGTGTCAGCTTTGTTCTCTATAATGGAATGGTGGAGGCCAAACATAAGCAGCCAAAAGGTCGGAGAAATGAATAGTTATGTAGTAACTCAAAAGGAGAGCAATCCCTGAGCTTAGTTGATGTTGTTCTATTTATAAGAAAGCCATTGTCTTGATACATTCACCCCAAAAATGGACAGAACTTTGGATTGAGAAAAAGAGTACAAGCAACGTTTAGTAAGGTTGATGATTTCTTTCACTTACGTTTACCATCGAATGCAGGATGGTTAAAGGGTACCCCACTCATCACAATCTACCGAACCAAAAGGGTGAGCGGGTGGTGTCTATGAAACTTAGACAAAGGATAAATTTGACATGAATGAGAATTGAAATCTGAAGCTCGTTCGAAGGAACATGTAAGGGAACTTTATTGCCTTCTCTCGAATCCTTTCTCGCGTTGCTTCTAACTATTAATACAAGACCTCCTTTGTGAAAATTTTGTGGCATAACTTTGGAGTTATATATTCGAGAAACTCTTTGCTCGCATGCTTCTTCCCGAATTTTAGCACGATCTCGTAGTTCTTTAGTGAGTTTCAATTCTACTTTAATGTAGTGCACATCGGAACTTTTGTCGATCAATTGTTGGCGCAAGGAGGACTCGCCAATTGGTACTAATATCATAGAGTGCATGCCATAAATAAGGCTGTAGGAAGTTTTCAGGGTATATGTTTGTAGGCCCATAATACTTCAAGTAACTCCTTGATTCATTTTCCCTTTGTCAACCCCAATCTCTTCTTTAATTCCATCTCCATTTAAATGGCTAGTTCAAATAAAAGATTTATAACAAATTTTCAACAATATGTTTAAGTATTGTTTTCTGTAACGTCATAGTAATTCCATCAATCCTATCATGTTAACCACCTCAATATCCCATTGAAAGACATCCTTAAAACTGATCAATACTTTTAATGATCTTGCATTAAAAGAATATTTATTGAGGTCTCTTGTTTGCTACCCAAAAAGGGCATATCGACACAACCGAGCAACCCCTCTTTCTTAGGTTCTCATCGGTGGATAAACTATTATTAGAGTCTTCATAAAATCCGAGGGAAGAGTTGTATTATTCTAGAAACATAAAAAGGAAGTCTGAGACTCTTGCTTTACATATCATAGGGCTTCATACTATCATTATCCGGAAAATAATTGGTTTTGGGGACATGCACTTAATTGTTAAGGGTCGTTTGAGCTTTTTCTGAGAGTATTTAGTGTTGTAGTATCTAGTATTTGAACTTTGCTTCGAGGCATTTTCTCTATCCTTATTAAAAACAGGGACACCATGTGTCCTTGAACCGTTAACCATCTTTTGGTTAACCTAGTCTCCTCTGTCCCTCAGGGCCAATAAATGGTAGAACAGGAATATTCACATGTTCATCGACTACGTCTTTCGACCTTATCTTGGACCCTGACTCACCCTTTATGGACAAACCTTATGGAGGAATCCTTGAGTTTTCGAGACATTGAATTCTCATCAATGTTTACATTACTCAAGCCAACATTCTCACTTCTGCTTCGCTCACACAAGTCATTCCTATTTTCACGCAATTCACAAGGTTTAGCAAACAATCGATATTTCATGATCAAATATGTAGTACTCTTTGTAGTAACGATTCTTATATATCGTATTAATAATCGAAAAATGGTCGAAAGAAAAAAATACTTATTTGACAAGACTTCTTTCTATACCTATGAATTCCATTGGACCCAAAGATGATACATTGGAAAAATCCTATGATTCTTCCAATATTAATAGGTTGATTGTTCTGTTCATGTTTATATAGCTTCCAAAAGGACAAAAGATCTCTAAGAATTCTTTCATGGTTCCAAAAGAGAGAACTCGGTATTTTCGAATATAAAAGAAGCCATTGAAAAAAGTGAGTGGTGTACAACAATGAGAAAAGTGATAAATTTGTTTTTCCAGTAAACCATATCCATTAAATAATACTTTAATCTTAGATGGTTCAATCAACCCAAAAATTGATGGCATATCTCATAAATCTTTACCTTGCATTGTAATTTTTTTTCTCTAAACTATTCCCAACAATAAGTGTTTAATAAATCCAAGTAATGTTTTTCCACTGAGTAAGTGATTTCATATATATATATATATATATATATATATATGGTAGTGTTCCTTTGTGTTTATATTCTTTATTTTAATCATCTCCTCTGGATCAATAAAGTAATATTTGTGTTTAGTTTTCTCTAATTAACATTATTTTTGGCAAGGATTCCGAAGTATTTTTAGGTGATAATGAATTAATCTGTTATACCACACTAGTTACGAGACTACTTCAATATCTCATCAAAATGTCTTCTTCCGCTAGTCATGGAAGAAGATGTCTTAACACTAAACAGTGCAAGTTCATGTCTAAGTTGTTACAAGATGTATATATCACTAACGTAAAATAAGATTTTGATGAAGACATTTTATATTTGTCGTGAATCACCGTTAAACACAAATATAAAAATATTATTTTATGATGGTTATAATTTATACATTTTATAATTAAAATTTATTTTTTTATGACAGTTTAATTTTAAATTGACATAAAATGTATTTATAAGGATACTTTAATTTTGAACCAACATAATAAATAATTTTTTACATTGGTTCAAAATTGAACCACTATAATAAATATTTTTTATATCAATTTAATTTTGAACTGTCATAATAAACGATTTTGTAAATTATAAACTTTGTCACTTTTTATGTTGATTTATTGAAGTATCATAATAAGTACTTATCATGACATTCAATTTTGAATTGATATAGAAAATGATTTTGTCAATTTTAAATGAAACATTTTCTATATTAGTTAAAACTTTAACCATCATAATAAATACTCACTACGATAGTTCAAAATTAAATCAACATAAAAAATGCTTATTATGACAGTTCAAAATTGAGCTATCATAAAAAGCGTCCGAATTTAAATTTTTCCAAATTTGTTTATCCTATTTCCAATTTTGTTTATCCTCTTGATCTTCCTTGTTTTCCATTTTTTTCCCTTGCACGTTAGAGAACTCCACTCAGCTTTTTTTTTTTTCATTGTCTCCTTGTCTTCTTCATGCTTACACCACCACTTTTGATAATCTTGCTTTTTTCTCATTTATAACAAATGTTATACATGAAAGCATGATCTCATTTTTCTGTATTAATTTGTATTTCTCGATTTGGTTCAATAAAGTGTTCTAATATATTAGATTGTAATTATTATTATAATTTTTTTATCTTGTAAATTATTTTTATCCAACTTAAGTGAAAATTATTTACATTTTATATTTAATTATTTTTCGTATAGATAATATTTATGTTTAATTTTCAAAATTGTTATTATATTATTTAATAAAATGTTTATGAAAAATATAACTATATAAAAAAATATTTAAGATAAGATTGTCTTAACAATTATGTTAAGAATTGCCATAATAAATATTTTCTTTATTAGTTATTTAACCATTGACCTAAGAAGTACTATATCTATGTTAGTTTTACCATCAATATAAAAGGTGTAAAATAATCATCATATTCTTCATGTTTGCACCACCACTTCTCATAATCTTACTTTTTCCTCATTTATAACAAAGGTTATACATGAAGCATGATCTCATTTTTTCTGTATTAGTTTGTATTTCTCAATTAAATTGTATTTAATTTTCAAAATTTGTTGTTGTAT